CCTTCGCCGCCGCCGCCTCTCCGCAGCCCGGGGTCGCCCACAGAGACTGCCGCATGTTCGGGGCGCTATGCGCGCCGGCCGCCGCTCGATCGCTTGTCAGTTCCTTCCCGGAAGTCTGCCCGCTCCGCGACGTCGCCCCAGGACTCGGAGAGGAGAGACCAGGGACGCCCGGCCAGGGCCATGGTCGGCCGCGGGCCGCCTAGTAACCGCTACCGCCGCCGCCGCCGCCTCCGCCGCCGCCTACGTCCCGTAAACTTTCCCCGCGGCCGCTGGGAATTCTGGGAAACTCGACGCTGCGCGAGCGCCTTCGCCCCTCCCCCTCCCCAGTCCCCTGCGCGGCTCGGGCTGCGGGATGACGGTCTGCGCCCTCAGCTAACGGCCTGGTTCCACTGTCTTTCCAAGGAACGGCGGCCGCCTTCACTCCCCGTCAGCGAGAGTCAGTCCCGCGGACACGAGAGGACGAAGAACGAAGCCCGCCGGCCTGAGCGCTGGAGGCCCTCGCGCGCTCCTGCGGTGGAGCCTCCTCTACCCACAGATTTTTCTCTCAGGACCGGGACGGAGCCGGTGACGCCCACTGAGACAGACGCATTCGCTCCTCGTGCACCAGAGAGGACATCCCTCTTGGAGCGTTTTGGGTTGGTAAATTTAGGTCCGAGATAACGCAGACTGCCCGCAAGCGTTGAAGGAATACCACCCTTAGGCTAGTGCTGCACCCAAAAAATCTAGATGACTCTTAAGTTGAAAACTTTAATCCATCGGATAATAATGAAGCAAGTATAAATCTGTAGTCTCCTGAGTGACAGGGAGTGCATCTTTCTGATAAAGGGAAAAACGGAGGAAAAAGCCAAAATGGAGTTTTTACTATGGTTTATTGAAGATAAATTTCATATTAATATATTTTTATTTAATCATCGGTATCCTTGTTATACTTACTAGTCACATATTTCCTCTTGGAGGTGTCGATGGAAACCATTAATCTGTAATAGGAATAGGAAAGAGTTTTATTTGTGCCAAACGGAGAACTGTAAGCCAGGAAGACAGCCTCTCAGATAACTGAGGAAATGGTCGGTCGGTGTAGTTCTGTATCTTGTCAGAACAAAGAACATTAAACAAGTCAGGGATACATTCCTTTAAGATTAAAAAAAAGAAAAAAATAGACCAGCGTAGAATACAGAGTCAGTTGGCCTTGACACCTGGGAAGGTAGTCTTACCATTGAAGGAGTACCAGCATTTACCAGGAAGGGAGGCATTTAATTTTTATTTTTAACACAAACATTCTTTACTTCTGGTCAGTGAGCCTTTGTCTTCAATAATTAAAACAAATGTACAATGTGTGTTGGCTAGGCCACAAACAGGCTATTTTATTTTATTATTTTTAACACATTTATTGTGGTATAATTCCTGTACAGTACACTGCACATATCTCAGATGTAAAATTTGATGAATTTTGATAGATATATACACGTATGAACAGGCAATTTTAGCTAGCATAAAATTAAAGTTAATTCATGTATAATTCAGAATGACTTCCCCATACCTCCATATGTATGTATATTTTCAATATGTGAAAATTTCTTTCCTCATAGTTAAATATTCCAATCGTAGATTTTTTTTTAGAATTTTGAACACTAAAGGTAAAGACCTGGGTTTTTGAGTCTAAAATAGACCTTACTTTCTTCTATATAACTTAGCAGAGGTGCAAAATGTACAGTATAACATTTACAAGTAAGATGAGATGCACCCTCTAGTGACCAAATTAAGGCTTTAGCAGTGGGAAAAAATGCTTTCTCAGGGATAGGAGATGTGAACAATTAACAAAAGCCAAGGAATTTTTTACTACGCAAGGCTAGGAACATGATCAAATTTTGTTTTGCCATGGACAAATAAGATATTTTATGTAGTGCCTGTCTCTATCTTTGCATGCTGTTATGGTCCCTTGGCACAGATCTCTCACAAGTCATTCAGTAACCAACAAGTATTCATTGAGCATCCACTGTGCTCAGCCCTGTCCTAGATGCTTGTGATATAGCAATAAACAAAGAATCCCTACTCTCTACTCTCATGGGGAAAAGGACAGTAAAGAAAAATAAATAAAACATGCTATGCTACATAGTAATAAGTGCTGAGATGAAAGAAAACTAGAAAAAAAGGGTTAGTAATTTTAGATAACATGATAGAATGACAAGGAAGGCTCATGAGGAGGACATTGGTGTTAAGTGACAAAGGAAACTGGTAACGCAGCTATCCAGAGGAAGAGTATTCCAAGCAGAAAGACCAGCAAGTGCAAAATCACTGCAGGTTGCTGCATTCCTGATAATTTGGAGGAATATAAGAAGTATGTAGCTGGAGCAGAGAAGAAGAGTAGTGGGAAATGACGTTAGAGAGATAACTATGGCACCTAGCGTTTTGTGGGTCATTGTAAGGAATTTCATTTTGAGCAGAGGAGTGACATGACCTAACAATGTTTTGAACAGGATCGCTTTGGATGCTGTGTTGAAAACAGCCTGAATGGAGACAAAGGTAAAAGTAGGGAGATCAGTCAGAACCTGTTGCTGGCTTGGACCAAGGTAATAGCAGTGGAGATGATGAGAAGTGATCAGACTTTGGACAAATCCAACAGGATTTGCTGACAGATTGATTATGGAGTGTCAGAGGGAGAGAAATTAAGGATCACTCCTGTGGGTATGTAAATCTTAACAATAGAACAGAACTATTACGTATAAAATAAATAAGCTACAAGGATATATTGTACAACACAGGGAATATAGCCAATATTTGATAATAACTATAGATGGAGTATAACCTTTAAGAATTGTGGAACACTATGTTGTATACTTGTAACTTATTTAATATTGTATATCAACTATATCTCAGTTTTTTTTTAAAAAAAAGAACAGAATGAAGCTCAATAGAATAGCAGATTTTTACTCTGAGAGGAACATAAGAAAAGCAGTTATTTGTTCCTATGGTTCACATATAAGGACTAGTACTAAAGTGTTTGGTAGTGTGAATGAAGAAGAATGATGAAACGTAAATGGAGAGACAATGGGGTTTTGTTACACATAGGACATGAAGGTGGGAGATGAAGGGAGGGAAGGGGGCACCAAAGAAGTGCCAGGTTTCTGCCCAGGATTTACCTAAAAAGATAAGAAAACAAAAGCATATTAAGACCTTGTTTAATAAAGCCAGCTCTTCACACTTGGGTTTTCCCAGGGACTGAAATACAGAATACAGGATACCTTTCACGTTCATGGGCAGGGGGAAGGGGGAGGCTGAATCATAGAATTTTATAGTTTGAAAAGAATTCTGAGATCAGCTAGGCTGACCTCACTTTATTAATGTGGAAACAACCAGAAAGATTAATTGTTTTGCTTCAGATTTTATTCCTGGTTAGTGACAGACAAGTCTCAAGTTTTCTATTCCCGTTTTGGGTCTTTTCCTCCATGCTTTACACAGCATGAAGAACCCCACTAATGTGAGTCCAGATTCTAATAGTTATTTTCAGAGCCACCTATGTTGCCTGCAAAGAATTCCCCTTTTCAATGCTATTTCAATTCTTTGAATTACATAGAGAGAAAGCTGCAATTAGGTGCTCTTTTTTTAAGAGCTGTAATTTGCCTTTTTATCAAGGAGGTGCATTCCAGAATCAACGATCTGCAGACAGCATGAGCAGTAGCAATGTGTAGCATTATGTGAACTTTGAATTTAAATCCTTAAATGCAGACACTTTGAATTCACATCTGTTTTCTAGAAATCACTAGACTTCTGGTGGTTTATATTAAGGAATCTAAATTTTGCAGCTATAATTCTTCAGACATAGCTTTTGAGAAAACTAATATTGTATTACATAATAGTGACGTATTTTCCCTTTGCAGTTGCATTCTCGGATAAAATAGACAATTAGGGAGTTACTTATAACTTATGTCTTAACTATTTTTTATTAATTAAGCATTAAAATTTATTTTAAAGGAGGCCATAAGGGGTTAACCTAATAGCCTTCTGGCTGTTAGTTTTTCTCACATGGAAATTAAAAATTTGGACTAGTTGATTTCCAGTGCCTTTCAGCCCTACAGTTTTGTGGCACATAGGTAGAAGGAAATACACAAAAGTAAAAGCAGTTACCCCAG